CCCCTCTCACACCCTGCTGCAACCACTCCCCCCCCTCTCACACCCTGCTGCAACCACTCCCCCCCTCTCACACCCTGCTGCAACCACTCCCCCCCTCTCACACCCTGCTGCAACCACTCCCCCCCTCTCACACCCTGCTGCAACCACTCCCCCCCCTCTCACACCCCTGCTGCAACCACTCCCCCCTCTCACACCCAGCTGCAACCACTCCCCCCCTCTCTCACCCTGCTGCAACCACTCCCCCCCTCTCACACCCTGCTGCAACCACTCCCCCCCTCTCACACCCTGCTGCAACCACTCCCCCCCTCTCACACCCTGCTGCAACCACTCCCCCCCCTCTCACACCCTGCTGCAACCACTCCCGCCTCTCACACCCTGCTGCACCCACTCCCCCCCTCTCACACCCTGCTGCAACCACTCCCCCCTCTCTCACCCTGCTGCAACCACTCCCCTCCCTCTCACACCCTGCTGCAACCACTCCCGCCTCTCACACCCTGCTGCAACCACCCCCCCCCTCTCACACCCTGCTGCCCCTCCCCCCCTCTCACACCCTGCTGCAACCACTCCCCCCCTCTCACACCCTGCTGCAACCACTCCCCCCCCCCCCTCTCACACCCTGCTGCAACCACTCCCCCCTCTCACACCCTGCTGCAACCACTCCCCCCCCCTCTCACACCCTGCTGCAACCACTCCCCCCCCCCTCTCACACCCTGCTGCAACCACTCCCCCCCCTCTCACTCCCCCCCTCTCACACCCTGCTGCAATCACTCCTCCCCCTCTCACACCCTGCTGCAACCACTCCCCCCCTCTCACACCCTGCTGCAACCACTCCTCCCCCCTCTCACACCCTGCTGCAACCACTCCCGCCCCTCTCACACACCCTGCTGCAACCACTGCAACCACTCCCCCCTCTCACACCCTGCTGCAACCACCCCCCCCCTCTCACACCCTGCTGCAACCACTCCCCCCCTCTCACACCCTGCTGCAACCACTCCCCCCCCCCCCCTCTCACACCCTGCTGCAACCACTGCAACCCCCCCTCCTCTCACACCCTGCTGCAACCACTCCCCCCCTCTCTCTCACACCCTGCTGCAACCACTCCCCCCCCCTCTCACACCCTGCTGCAACCACTCCCCCCTCCTCTCACACCCTGCTGCAACCACCCCCCCCCCTCTCACACCCTGCTGCAACCACTCCCCCCCTCTCACACCCTGCTGCAACCACTCCCCCCCCTCTCACACCCTGCTGCAACCACTCTCACACCCTGCTGCACCCCCCCCCCCCAAACCCTGCTGCAACCACTCCCCCCCCCCTCTCACACCCTGCTGCAACCACTCTCCCCCCCCCAAACCCTGCTGCAACCACTCCCCCCCCTCTCACACCCTGCTGCAACCACTCCCCCCCCTCTCACACCCTGCTGCAACCACTCCCCCCCCCAAACCCTGCTGCAACCACTCCTCCCCCCTCTCACACCCTGCTGCAACCACTCCCCCCTCCTCTCACACCCTGCTGCAACCACTCCCCCCCTCTCACACTCTGCTGCAACCACTCCCCCCCTCTCACACTCTGCTGCAACCACTCCCCCCTCCTCTCACACCCTGCTGCAACCACTCCCCCCTCCTCTCACACCCTGCTGCAACCACTCCCCCCTCCTCTCACACCCTGCTGCAACCACTCCCCCCTCCTCTCACACCCTGCTGCAACCACTCCCCCCTCCTCTCACACCCTGCTGCAACCACTCCCCCCCCCTCTCACACCCTGCTGCAACCACTCCCCCCTCCTCTCACACCATGCTGCAACCACTCCCCCCCCTCTCACACCCTGCTGCAACCACTCCCCCCTCCTCTCACACCCTGCTGCAACCACTCCCCCCCTCCTCTCACACCCTGCTGCAACCACTCCCCCCCTCCTCTCACACCCTGCTGCAACCACTCCCCCCCCCTCTCACACCCTGCTGCAACCACTCCCCCCTCCTCTCACACCCTGCTGCAACCACTCCCCCCCCTCTCACACCCTGCTGCAACATCTCCCCCCTCCTCTCACACCCTGCTGCAACCACTCCCCCCCTCTCACACCCTGCTGCAACCACTCCCCCCTCCTCTCACACCCTGCTGCAACCACTCCCCCCTCCTCTCACACCCTGCTGCAACCACTCCCCCCTCCTCTCACACCCTGGTGCAACCACTCCCCCTCCCCTCTCACACCCTGCTGCAACCACTCCCCCCTCCTCTCACACCCTGCTGCAACCACTCCCCCCCTCTCTCACCCTGCTGCAACCACTCCCGCCCCTCACACCCTGCTGCAACCACTCCCCCCCCCTCTCACACCCTGCTGTAACCACTCCCGCCCCTCTCTCACACCCTGCTGCAACCACTCCCCCCCTCTCACACCCTGCTGCAACCGCTCCCCCCCCTCACACCCTGCTGCAACCACTCCCCCCTCCTCTCACACCCTGCTGCAACCACTCCCCCTCCCCTCTCACACCCTGCTGCAACCACTCCCCCCTCCTCTCACACCCTGCTGCAACCACTCCCCCCTCTCTCACCCTGCTGCAACCACTCCCGCCCCTCACACTCTGCTGCAACCACTCCCCCCCCCCTCTCACACCCTGCTGCAACCACTCCCGCCCCTCTCTCACACCCTGCTGCAACCACTCCCCCCTCTCACACCCTGCTGCAACCACTCCCGCCCCTCTCTCACACCCTGCTGCAACCACTCCCGCCTCTCACACCCTGCTGCAACCACTCCCGCCCCTCTCTCACACCCTGCTGCAACCACTCCCCCCTCTCACACCCTGCTGCAACCACTCCCCCCTCTCACACCCTGCTGCAACCACTCCCGCCCCTCTCTCACACCCTGCTGCAACCACTCCCGCCTCTCACACCCTGCTGCAACCACTCCTGCCCCTCTCTCACACCCTGCTGCAACCACTCCCCCCTCTCACACCCTGCTGCAACCACTCCCCCCCTCTCACACCCTGCTGCAACCACTCCCGCCCCTCTCTCACACCCTGCTGCAACCACTCCCCCCTCTCACACCCTGCTGCAACCACTCCCCCCTCTCACACCCTGCTGCAACCACTCCCCCCTCTCACACCCTGCTGCAACCACTCCCCTCCTCTCACACCCTGCTGCAACCACTCCCCTCCTCTCTCACCCTGCTGCAACCACTCCCGCCCCTCACACCCTGCTGCAACCACTCCCCCCTCTCACACCCTGCTGCAACCACTCCCCCCTCTCACACTCTGCTGCAACCACTCCCCCCTCTCTCACACCCTGATACAACCACTCCCCCCTCTCACACCCTGCTGCAACCACTCCCCCCCTCTCACACTCTGCTGCAACCACTCCCCCCTCTCACACCCTGCTGCAACCACTCCCCCCCCTCTCACACCCTGCTGCAACCACTCCCCCCCCTCTCACACCCTGCTGCAACCACTCCCCCCCCTCTCACACTCTGCTGCAACCACTCCCCCCTCTCACACCCTGCTGCAACCACTCCCCCCCCCCTCTCACACCCTGCTGCAACCACTCCCCCCTCTCACACCCTGCTGCAACCACTCCCCCCCCCCTCTCACACCCTGCTGCAACCACTCCCCCCCCCCTCTCACACCCTGCTGCAACCACTCCCCCCTCACACGGAGCCCAAGTAACGGCTGGCAATTGTGATAGTCTGGAAAAGAAGTTATCATTTATCTCCCGCTTATTACTCCCCCCTCCCCCCTTCCCCCCCATCCCCCCATTCCCCCCCCCCTCCCCGGCACCGGGTGTTTACCCAGAGGAGAAAATGTGGTGATTGAGCGCCCGGGCTTAAAGGGCGGCGGTAGGAAGCATCAAGCATTGACTAGTAATTAATGGATTATCAAAAGGTTATTATTTGTATAAATAATAATTATGAAAAGAAGGGCACCAAGCCGAGGAAAGTTGTGTAGGACCATGAAGCATTTACCAGCCTTCACAGGCGGGGTCCAGGTACTGAGGTGCGGGGGGGGGGGATTACCTTAAACGGAACTCAGGGTTACCTTGAGGGTTACCTTGAGGGTTACTTTGAGGGTTACTTTGAGGGTTACTTTGAGGGTTACCTTGGGGGTTACCATGAGGGTTACTTTGAGGGTTACCTTTAGGGTTACTTTGAGGGTTACTTTGAGGGTTACCTTGGGGGTTACCTTGAGGGTTACTTTGAGGGTTACCTTTAGGGTTACTTTGAGGGTTACCTTTAGGGTTACTTTGGGGGTTACCTTGAGATTACCTAGAGGTTACCTTGGGGTTACCTTGAGGTTACCTTTAGGTAACTTTGGGGGTTACCTTTAGGGTTACTTTGAGGGTTACTTTGAGGGTTAGGTTGAGGGTTACTTTGAGGGTTACCTTGAGGTTTCCTTGAGATTGCCTAGAGGTTACCTTGGGGTTACCTTGAGGTTACTTTGAAGGTCCTTGAGGTTACCTTGGCATGGTTTCGGGGCTTAACGTCCCCGCGGACGTTAAGAAAACTAGATAGTTTTCTCCAAGAAGTACCGGACCAACCGGGCTGTGGTGGGTAGCGGGGGGTAGAAATAGTCTAAGGTACTCTATCGCTTTAAGATGTACTTCTTTCTTGTCTCAATAAACATACTTGAACTTGAACTTGAGTATGTGGGCCTGTGGACCGCTGCAAGCAACAGCCTGGTGAACCAAACTCACAAGTCATGCCTGGTGGACCAACTGGTGGATGGCTTGGGGAGTAGAAGACTTACCAGAACCCTCTCCAGGTACAATCCCGGTGTATCAACGAAACCTGTACATCTTTTAACAATCATGACGGATTTGTTTACGTTTATTAAACAATTTTTGAGCACCGAAGCACTACAAGTTTCTTTATACAAATAATAACCTTAGCTTGTGTTGTTTCAAAGTTTGTAAACTGTTTTAGTAAACAAGAATTTGTGGTGGGCTTATATTCTTAGGGGTTTGTTGAGGGGTCTTATTCTTAGGGGTTTGTTGTGGGCTCATATTCTTAGGGGTTTGTTAAGGGGTCTTATTCTTAGGGGTTTGTTGAGGGGTCTTATTCTTAGGGGTTTGTTGAGGGGTCTTATTCTTAGGGGTTTGTTGAGGGGTCTTATTCTTAGGGGTTTGTTGAGGGGTCTTATTCTTAGGGGTTTGTTGAGGGGTCTTATTCTTAGGGGTTTGTTGAGGGGTCTTATTCTTAGGGGTTTGTTGAGGGGTCTTATTCTTAGGGGTTTGTTGAGGGGTCTTATTCTTAGGGGTTTGTTGAGGGGTCTTATTCTTAGGGGTTTGTTGAGGGGTCTTATTCTTAGGGGTTTGTTGAGGGGTCTTATTCTTAGGGGTTTGTTGAGGGGTCTTATTCTTAGGGGTTTGTTGAGGGGTCTTATTCTTAGGGGTTTGTTGTGGGGTCTTATTCTTAGGGGTTTGTTGAGGGGTCTTATTCTTAGGGGTTTGTTGTGGGGTCTTATTCTTAGGGGTTTGTTGAGGGGTCTTATTCTTAGGGGTTTGTTGAGGGGTCTTATTCTTAGGGGTCTGTGGTTGGCTCGTATTCTTAGTGCATGTAGGCAGCAAGGGTCATATCTAATTGTAGTAACGCTCTAATCTCTCCTTGCAGGTAACACCCCAGCTGACACTCACCTGAGGGGGCCACAGCCTCACCTGAGGGGGCCACAGCCTCACCTGAGGGGGCCACATGCTCACCTGAGGGGGCCACAGGCTCACCTGAGGGGGCCACAGGCTCACCTGAGGGGGCCACAGGCTCACCTGAGGGGGCCACAGGCTCACCTGAGGGGGCCACAGGCTCACCTGAGGGGGCCACAGGCTCACCTGAGGGGCCACAGGCTCACCTGAGGGGGCCACAGGCTCACCTGAGGGGGCCACAGGCTCACCTGAGGGGCCACGGACTCACCTGAGGGGCCATCAGCCAGACGTGGGTCATCTGGCCGGCCAAGGTTGGTGGTGGTCTTCGTCTTAAAGAACTCTCTGTCTGCTTCGGGTCTATAAGATATTGATGTGTGGCGTGGGAGTGTTGTGTCTGGAGCTGTGGTGGTGTTGTGGTAGTGTGTGATGTTGTTGAGGTGTTGTGGTAGTGTGTGGTGTTGTGGTGGTGTTGTGGTAGTGTGTGATGTTGTGGTGGTGTTGTGGTAGTGTGTGATGTTGTGGAAGTGTGTGTGGTGTTGTGGTAGTGTGTGTGGTTGTTACGGCCCTCTCGGGTAGCAACCGGGTTCTTACTCTGATGTTGTTAGAGGTAGGGTATCCGGCCCCAAGCTAGTAGTGGCTTTCAAGGGATGTGATCCGTAACGCAAGTAAAATAAAAGGGGAAGGGAAATAAAGACAAAAACTTAATAATATAATTAACACCGTCACCATAAATAATATAAAGATTATCACAAGGGGGAGGAATAAACACTATAATGTATAACGTAGTCTTCTTCTGAAGACTCTGGACGTTCACGGTGCTCACGATGCTAAGCTCTTGGTGCTCTTGTGGCCTTACGATGAATCCTTCGATCCTCTCGAGTCTACCCTGGCCACAGGCCAGCCAAATCACAGTTCCACTGGGGGCACCGTCGTGGAGGCCATCAACCACAAGTCCAGCCGGTAGCTGGCAGGTTCAAATCAGCGACGCTGGTTAGGCCACTCCACGATCGATACTAAGGTCGCGAACCCTAGTCAGGAGCCTCGTGTGATCCACAGACCACTCTCCTTTCCACAACACCCCAGTGGTTAAGCGTCTCCACCAGTCGGTCCCGGGTATGACAATCCCTCAACTGCCACTTCACAGGCAGGCTAACACCACAGTGTTCATCCGGGGGGCGACTCACAGCTGCTGCAGCAAACACTTGGAGACAAGTCGGCTGCCTTGGGTAGACTGACTCAACTTCCATTACAGCAGTCCCAGGTCGACTCTGTAATCAGACACGTCATCAATAATAGAGACACACTAGGGCACCTTACTTACAGGCTTAGACACAAACGCCCGACGTATCCACTCCATAGATGGCGTTGCTGTCTAAGCTCCACCTCACCAGAGGTCAGCAGCGGCTGTGTTATGAGCTGATCAGGACGGGAAACTAGCCCTTGTGGCCAGTATATCTCGTCCTCACTAGGTGGCGGCGTCCATTTGGAGGGGGTTTCGGGAGCTGACCCACAGATGGCGTGGTCGTCACTGCTCCGGGCTCGGACGCTGGACTCAGGTCCGTAACAGTGGTGTCGTGGTAGTGCGGGGTGGTAGTGTATTGGCAGTGTTGTGGTAGTGGTTGTAGTGGTTATAGCCCACACGAGTCAGCTCCAATTCATACCTACTCGAACTCATTCACATGTGTGTCTAACTCTGCGCTGGAAACACCCCATCAATCCTATACCTATCATTGTCCTGGAAATTTGTTCTATAAATCCCCATCCGTTGCCAAACCAGTATTTACCCAGGTCTTTCCTAAATCTAAACATACCCATTGTACACCCATTGTTTCGCGTTCTATTTTGTTATACCCGTTACATCCATTTGTATATTTCTGTCATAATAGTGCTTATGTGTACAGATGTGAGCAGTCATGACTTTGTAATGAGTTGAGGCGGTAATGTAACCTTTGTAGTGAGGTGAGGCGGTAATGTAACCTTTGTAATGAGGTGAGGCGGTAATGTAACCTTTGTAATGATGTGAGGCGGTAATGTAACCTTTGTAATGAGGTGAGGCGGTAATGTAACCTTTGTAATGAGGTGAGGCGGTAATGTAACCTTTGTAATGAGGTGAGGCGGTAATGTAACCTTCGTAGTGAGGTGAGGCGCTAATGTAACCTTTGTAATGAGGTGAGGCGGTAATGTAACCTTTGTAATGAGGTGAGACGGTAATGTAACCTTTGTAGTGAGGTGAGGCAGGTGAGCCACAACAGGTAAACCTGGACCATTAATAGTTTACGTGCAGGTCTCACTCCACGTGACAAATGGACGCAAGAAATCCGGATTACCAAAGAAAAACGATCCACAAGTAAACACTTTTCCTCCAGAATTGAAATATATTTGTGTGTGGAGGAATGTGTTTAGCACCATGTACTCACCTAGTTGTGTTTGCGGGGGTTGAGCTCTGGCTCTTTGGTCCCGCCTCTCAACCGTCAATCAACAGGTGTACAGGTTCCTGAGCCTACTGGGCTCTATCATATCTACACTTGAAACTGTGTATGGAGTCAGCCTCCTCCACATCACTTCCTAATGCATTCCATTTGTCAACCACTCTGACACTAAAAAAGTTCTTTCTAATATCTCTGTGGCTCATTTGGGCACTCAGTTTCCACCTGTGTCCCCTAGTGCGTGTGCCCCTTGTGTTAAATAGCCTGTCTTTATCAACCCTGTCGATTCCCTTGAGAATCTTGAATGTGGTGATCATGTCCCCCCTAACTCTTCTGTCTTCCAACGAAGTGAGGTTCAATTCCCGTAGTCTCTCCTCGTAGCTCATACCTCTCAGCTCGGTTACTAGTCTGGTGGCAAACCTTTGAACCTTTTCCAGTTACCATGTGACGGCGACCTTAAGCACTCACACTTGAAACACTGAGTGTGTTGTTATTTTGAAGTCTATTCAATAGACTGTGAAGCCTAGGACAAATGTATGGTGAAGCATTGAGCCGTTTATAGTCACCTGGTGCAGTGAAGGAAGTCACCTGGTGCAGTGAAGGAAGTCACCTGGTGCAGTGAAGGAAGTCACCTGGTGCAGTGAAGGAAGTCACCTGGTGCAGTGAAGGAAGTCACCTGGTGCAGTGAAGGAAGTCACCTGGTGCAGTGAAGGAAGTCACCTGGTGCAGTGAAGGAAGTCACCTGGTGCAGTGAAGGAAGTCACCTGGTGCAGTGAAGGAAGTCACCTGGTGCAGTGAAGGAAGTCACCTGGTGCAGTGAAGGAAGTCACCTGGTGCAGTGAAGGAAGTCACCTGGTGCAGTGAAGGAAGTCACCTGGTGCGTGAAGGAAGTCACCTGGTGCAGTGAAGGAAGTCACCTGGTGCAGTGAAGGAAGTCACCTGGTGCAGTGAAGGAAGTCACCTGGTGCAGTGAAGCAAGTCACCTGGTGCAGTGAAGGAAGTCACCTGGTGCAGTGAAGGAAGTCACCTGGTGCAGTGAAGGAAGTCACCTGGTGCAGTGAAGGAAGTCACCTGGTGCAGTGAAGGAAGTCACCTGGTGCGTGAAGGAAGTCACCTGGTGCAGTGAAGGAAGTCACCTGGTGCAGTGAAGGAAGTCACCTGGTGCAGTGAAGGAAGTCACCTGGTGCAGTGAAGGAAGTCACCTGGTGCAGTGAAGGAAGTCACCTGGTGCAGTGAAGGAAGTCACCTGGTGCAGTGAAGCACGTCACATGGTGCAGTGAAGGAAGTCACCTGGTGCAGTGAAGCACGTCACCTGGTGCAGTGAAGGAAGTCACCAGGTGCAGTGAAGGAAGTCACCTGGTGCAGTGAAGCACGTCACCTGGTGCAGTGAAGGAAGTCACCTGGTGCAGTGAAGCACGTCACCTGGTGCAGTGAAGCACGTCACCTGGAGCAGTGAAGGAAGTCACCTGGTGCAGTGAAGGAAGTCACCTGGTGCAGTGAAGCACGTCACCTGGTGCAGTGAAGCACGTCACCTGGTGCAGTGAAGGAAGTCACCTGGTGCAGTGAAGGAAGTCACCTGGTGCAGTGAAGGAAGTCACCTGGTGCAGTGAAGCACGTCACCTGGTGCAGTGAAGCACGTCACCTGGTGCAGTGAAGCACGTCACCTGGTGCAGTGAAGCACGTCACCTGGAGCAGTGAAGGAAGTCACCTGGTGCAGTGAAGCACGTCACCTGGTGCTGTGAAGCACGTCACCTGGTGCAGTGAAGCAAGTCACCTGGTGCAGTGAAGGAAGTCACCTGGTGCAGTGAAGCAAGTCACCTGGTGCAGTGAAGCAAGTCACCTGGTGCAGTGAAGCAAGTCACCTGGTGCAGTGAAGCAATTCACCTGGTGCAGTGAAGCAAGTCACCTGGTGCAGTGAAGCAAGTCACCTGGTGCAGTGAAGGAAGTCACCTGGTGCAGTGAAGGAAGTCACCTGGTGCAGTGAAGCACGTCACCTGGTGCAGTGAAGCACGTCACCTGGTGCAGTGAAGGAAGTCACCTGGTGCAGTGAAGGAAGTCACCTGGTGCAGTGAAGCACGTCACCTGGTGCAGTGAAGCACGTCACCTGGTGCAGTGAAGCACGTCACCTGGTGCAGTGAAGCACGTCACCTGGAGCAGTGAAGGAAGTCACCTGGTGCAGTGAAGCACGTCACCTGGTGCTGTGAAGCACGTCACCTGGTGCAGTGAAGCAAGTCACCTGGTGCAGTGAAGGAAGTCACCTGGTGCAGTGAAGCAAGTCACCTGGTGCAGTGAAGCAAGTCACCTGGTGCAGTGAAGCAAGTCACCTGGTGCAGTGAAGCAATTCACCTGGTGCAGTGAAGCAAGTCACCTGGTGCAGTGAAGCAAGTCACCTGGTGCAGTGAAGGAAGTCACCTGGTGCAGTGAAGGAAGTCACCTGGTGCAGTGAAGCAAGTCACCTGGTGCAGTGAAGCACGTCACCTGGTGCAGTGAAGGAAGTCACCTGGTGCAGTGAAGGAAGTCACCTGGTGCAGTGAAGGAAGTCACCTGGTGCAGTGAAGGAAGTCACCTGGTGCAGTGAAGGAAGTCACCTGGTGCAGTGAAGCAAGTCACCTGGTGCAGTGAAGCAAGTCACCTGGTGCAGTGAAGCAAGTCACCTGGTGCAGTGAAGCAAGTCACCTGGTGCAGTGAAGCAAGTCACCTGGTGCAGTGAAGCAAGTCACCTGGTGCAGTGAAGGAAGTCACCTGGTGCAGTGAAGGAAGTCACCTGGTGCAGTGAAGGAAGTCACCTGGTGCAGTGAAGGAAGTCACCTGGTGCAGTGAAGCAAGTCAACTGGTGCAGTGAAGCAAGTCACCTGGTGCAGTGAAGGAAGTCACCTGGTGCAGTGAAGGAAGTCACCTGGTGCAGTGAAGCAAGTCACCTGGTGCAGTGAAGCACGTCACCTGGTGCAGTGAAGGAAGTCACCTGGTGCAGTGAAGGAAGTCACCTGGTGCAGTGAAGGAAGTCACCTGGTGCAGTGAAGGAAGTCACCTGGTGCAGTGAAGCAAGTCACCTGGTGCAGTGAAGGAAGTCACCTGGTGCAGTGAAGCAAGTCACCTGGTGCAGTGAAGGAAGTCACCTGGAGCAGTGAAGGAAGTCACCTGGTGCAGTGAAGCAAGTCACCTGGTGCAGTGAAGGAAGTCACCTGGTGCAGTGAAGCAAGTCACCTGGTGCAGTGAAGGAAGTCACCTGGTGCAGTGAAGGAAGTCACCTGGTGCAGTGAAGGAAGTCACCTGGTGCAGTGAAGCACGTCACCTGGTGCAGTGAAGCAAGTCACCTGGTGCAGTGAAGCAAGTCACCTGGTGCAGTGAAGGAAGTCACCTGGTGCAGTGAAGGAAGTCACCTGGAGCAGTGAAGGAAGTCACCTGGTGCAGTGAAGGAAGTCACCTGGTGCAGTGAAGGAAGTCACCTGGTGCAGTGAAGGAAGTCACCTGGTGCAGTGAAGGAAGTCACCTGGTGCAGTGAAGGAAGTCACCTGGTGCAGTGAAGCAAGTCACCTGGTGCAGTGAAGCACGTCACCTGGTGCAGTGAAGGAAGTCACCTGGTGCAGTGAAGCTGTGCTCCATCAGTCATCCTCACGGGGGGTGGGGGGGTTGCCGCCTTCTCAGGTATTATCGTCAAGATTAAAATCGAGATCAAGGTTGTTTGGTAGACTCTTTTTGCAGGGTCTTGGAGGCACCGAGGGTCTTGGAGGCACCGAGGATCTTGGAGGCACCGAGGGTCTTGGAGGCACCGAGGGTCTTGGATGCACCGAGGGTCTTGGAGGCACCGAGGGTCTTGGAGGCACCGAGGGTCTTGGAGGCACCGAGGGTCTTGGAGGCACCGAGGATCTTGGAGGCACCGAGGGTCTTGGAGGCACCGAGGATCTTGGAGGCACCGAGGGTCTTGGAGGCACCGAGGGTCTTGGAGGCACCGAGGGTCTTGGATGCACCGAGGGTCTTGGAGGCATTTAGGGTCTTGCAGGCACCGAGGGTCTTGCAGGCATCTAGGGTCTTGGAGGCACCGAGGGTCTTGGATGCACCGAGGGTCTTGGAGGCACCGAGGGTCTTGGAGGCACCGAGGGTCTTGGTGGCATCTAGGGTCTTGCAGGCACCGAGGACATCTAGGGTCTTGGAGGCACCGAGGGTCTTGGAGGCACCGAGGGTCTTGGAGGCACCGAGGGTCTTGGAGGCACCGAGGGTCTTGGAGGCACCGAGGGTCTTGGAGGCACCGAGGGTCTTGGATGCACCGAGGGTCTTGGAGGCACCGAGGGTCTTGCAGGCACCGAGGGTCTTGGAGGCACCGAGGGTCTTGGAGGCACCGAGGGTCTTGGAGGCACCGAGGGTCTTGGTGGCATCTAGGGTCTTGCAGGCACCGAGGGTCTTGGAGACATCTAGGGTCTTGGAGGCACCGAGGGTCTTGGAGGCACCGAGGGTCTTGGAGGCACCGAGGGTCTTGGAGGCACCGAGGGTCTTGGAGGCATCTAGGGTCTTGCAGGCACCGAGGGTCTTGGAGGCACCGAGGGTCTTGGAGGCACCGAGGGTCTTGGAGGCACCGAGGGTCTTGGAGGCACCGAGGGTCTTGGAGGCACCGAGGGTCTTGGAGGCACCGAGGGTCTTGGAGGCACCGAGGGTCTTGGAGGCACCGAGGGTCTTGGAGGCACCGAGGGTCTTGGAGGCACCGAGGGTCTTGGAGGCACCGAGGGTCTTGGAGGCACCGAGGGTCTTGGAGGCACCGAGGGTCTTGGAGGCACCGAGGGTCTTGGAGGCACCGAGGGTCTTGGAGGCACCGAGGGTCTTGGAGGCACCGAGGGTCTTGCAGGCACCGAGGGTCTTGGAGGCACCGAGGGTCTTGGAGGCACCGAGGGTCTTGCAGGCACCGAGGGTCTTGGAGGCACCGAGGGTCTTGGAGGCACCGAGGGTCTTGGAGGCACCGAGGGTCTTGCAGGCACCGAGGGTCTTGGAGGCACCGAGGGTCTTGGAGGCACCGAGGGTCTTGGAGGCACCGAGGGTCTTGCAGGCACCGAGGGTCTTGGAGGCACCGAGGGTCTTGGAGGCACCGAGGGTCTTGCAGGCACCGAGGGTCTTGGAGGCACCGAGGGTCTTGGAGGCACCGAGGGTCTTGGAGGCACCGAGGGTCTTGGAGGCACCAGGCACCGGGTCTTGGAGGCACCGAGGGTCTTGCAGGCACCGAGGGTCTTGCAGGCACCGAGGGTCTTGGAGGCACCGAGGGTCTTGCAGGCACCGAGGGTCTTGGAGGCACCGAGGGTCTTGGAGGCACCGAGGGTCTTGGAGGCACCGAGGGTCTTGCAGGCACCGAGGGTCTTGGAGGCACCGAGGGTCTTGCAGGCACCGAGGGTCTTGGAGGCACCGAGGGTCTTGCAGGCACCGAGGGGCAGGCACCGAGGGTCTTGCAGGCACCGAGGGTCTTGCAGGCACCGAGGGTCTTGGAGGCACCGAGGGTCTTGCAGGCACCGAGGGTCTTGGAGGCACCGAGGGTCTTGCAGGCACCGAGGGTCTTGCAGGCACCGGCAGGCACCGAGGGTCTTGGAGGCACCGAGGGTCTTGGAGGCACCGAGGGTCTTGCAGGCACCGAGGCACCGAGGGTCTTGGAGGCACCGAGGGTCTTGGAGGCACCGAGGGTCTTGCAGGCACCGAGGGTCTTGGAGGCACCGAGGGTCTTGCAGGCACCGAGGGTCTTGGAGGCACCGAGGGTCTTGGAGGCACCGAGGGTCTTGCAGGCACCGAGGGTCTTGGAGGCACCGAGGGTCTTGGAGGCACCGAGGGTCTTGGAGGCACCGAGGGTCTTGGAGGCACCGAGGGTCTTGGAGGCACCGAGGGTCTTGCAGGCACCGAGGGTCTTGCAGGCACCGAGGGTCTTGGAGGCACCGAGGGTCTTGGAGGCACCGAGGGTCTTGGAGGCACCGAGGGTCTTGGAGGCACCAAGGGTCTTGCACGGTGTGTTACAGGCCGTTCTCACCGTCTCATGAACATCACAACTGAAGTATACTTGGAGGGGGTTCTGGGAGGTGTTCTACTCAAGTTCGGTCTGGGGTAAGCTTGACTAGTGACAACTTGGTCCAACAGGCTGGTAATTAGAGCGTCTCGCAGGCCTTTATACCCTACAACCCTGCTGGTCCGGCACTTCTTGAACGAACATTTTTTTTTTTTTTGTAGATCACTTTTGTTCTAGCAATATTTCTAATGCTTGCTGGAGAGAGATTGAACAGCTGTGGACCTCTAATGTTCAGTGTTCTCTGATTGTTCCTACATCACTTCTACTCTTCACTGGCTCTTCTGCATTTCCTTCCATATCGTTCGCTTCAATATGTTGTTATTTTATTTGTTTGTGACTAGTCCTTCCAATATTTCCATGTGTATGTGTGACACCGCTCTCGTCTCGTCTCCAGAGAGCAAACATTTTGAGAGTTAAGACGGTCTCAATAACTTAGGAGCTTTATCCTTATGCGTGCCGTATATGTTCTCTGTATTCCCTCAATTTCAGCAATCTCTCCTGCTCGGAAACAGTGTGTCGTGCAATACTCAAGACGGGACAGCACTAGTGATTTGAATAGTCTTAGCATTGCTGTGGGGTCCTTGGATTTGAACGTTCTCATAACCCATCCTATCATTTTCCTGGTTGACGCAATATTTGCTCGGTTATGTTCGTTAGATCATCTAAGATCATTATTCCAAGATCCTTTACATGTTGTTTTCCTTATGTGAGGAGATCAGTCTGCGATGGTACTGTGTATTTCGTTTCAGATCCTTAATTATTTTATACCCAAGTACCTGGAATTTATCAGTTAAACATCATGTTATTTTTTCCGGTACACAGTCGAAGACTGTTAATATCTCCTACAAGTTTTTCAGTGTCTTCACAAAAGTAATTTTCATGCAGATTTTTGTGTCGTGTGCAAATGATGACACGAAGCTGTGACTTGTATTTTTGTGTGTGTGATATGAGAGTAAGTAATAGCACTGGTGCAAACACTGTGCCCGCAGGTACACAGCTTTTCACTCTGCGTGGATTTCATTTTGCTTAACTGACTCGCTTTGTATTCTGTTTGACACGAAATTGAATAGTCATACCCTACTTTTTTTTGTTCATTTTGATCTAATTTCAGGTGCTATCCCGCCATGGTCACATTTATCAAAGGCCTTTGCGAAGTCCGTGTATACAACATTAGCATTTTGTTTTTTCTTCTAATGCCTCAGTGACTTTGTCGTAGTGCTCAAGTAGCTGTGAGAGGCACGATCTTCCCGCTCTAAATCCATGTTGGCCTGGGTTGTGGAGGTCATTGGTCTCCATGAAACTACTGACCTGACTCCTAATCACTCTCTCAAATACTTTTATGATGTGCGATGTTAGTGCAACTGGTCTATAATTTATTTGCCAATGCTTTGCTCCCTCCCTTGTGTAGAGGGGCTATGTCTGCTACTTTAAGTGCATCTGGTATCTCCCCCGTGTCCAAACTCTTCCTCCACACTATACTGAGTGCCTGTGCTACTGGCACTTTGCATTTCTTTATAAATATTGAGTTCCGTGAGTCTGCACCGAGTGCATGGGCATGTCAATTTCTCTTTCCAAGTCTGCTGTTCTTGTGTTAATTTCAGTTATATTGTCAAGAAGCTGTGTGGATCTTCCGCCTTCATGTTATTTATTGGGGTGCTAAACATAGCCTCATACTGACCTTTTTAGGATTTCTTTAATTTCTTTGTCGTCGTTTGTGTATGAACCTTCAGTTGTAAGTACAGGTCCAGTACTGGCAGAGGTTCGTGATTTTGATCTTGCATGTGTGAACATGCAACATGCAACATGTGAACATTTTGGATTGTTCTGGAGTGAAGGCGTCAGGTTCATCATGTTGGTACTCTGCTGCTGCTTCTCGCGACATTTTCAAGATAACGCAAGTCTTGGTAAGGCCGCGCGAGTCTTGGTAAGGCCGCGCGAGTCTTGGTAAGGCCGCGCGAGTCTTGGTGAGGCCGCGCGAGTCTTGGTAAGGCCGCGCGAGTCTTGGTAAGGCCGCGCGAGTCTTGGTAAGGCCGCGCGAGTCTTGGTAAGGCCGCGTCTTGGTAAGGCCGCGCGAGTCTTGGTAAGGCCGCGCGAGTCTTGGTAAGGCCGCGCAAGTCTTGGTAAGGCCGCGCGAGTCTTGGTAAGGCCGCGCGAGTCTTGGTAAGGCCGCGCGAGTCTGGTAAGGCCGCGCGAGTCTTGGTAAGGCCGCGCGAGTCTTGGTAAGGCCGCGCGAGTCTTGGTAAGTCTTGGTAAGGCCGCGCACGTCTTGGTAAGGCCGCGCAGTCTTGGTAAAGTCTTGGTAAGGCCGCGCGAGTCTTGGTAAGGCCGCGCGAGTCTTGGTAAGGCCGCGCGAGTCTTGGTAAGGCCGCGCAAGTCTTGGTAAGGCCGCGCGCGCGAGTCTTGGTAAGGCCGCGCGAGTCTTGGTAAGGCCGCGCGAGTCTTGGTAAGGCCGCGCACGTCTTGGTAAGGCCGCGCGAGTCTTGGTAAGGCCGCGCGAGTCTTGGTAAGGGCGCAAGTTTTGGTAAGGCCGCGCGAGTCTGGTAAGGCCGCGCGAGTCTTGGTAAGGCCGCGCAAGTCTTGGTAAGGTCTCGCAAGTCTTGGTAAGGCCGCGCAAGTCTTGGTAAGGTCTCGCGAGTCTTGGTAAGGCCGCGCGAGTCTTGGTAAGGCCGCGCAAGTCTTGGTAAGGCCGCGCACGTCTTGGTAAGGCCGCGCACGTCTTGGTAAGGCCGCGCACGTCTTGGTAAGGCCGCGCACGTCTTGGTAAGGCCGCGCACGTCTTGGTAAGCCGCGCGCGAGGCCGCGCACGTCTTGGTAAGGCCGCGCACGTCTTGGTAAGGCCGCGCGAGTCTTGGTAAGGCCGCGCGAGTCTTGGTAAGGCCGCGCGAGTCTTGGTAAGGCCGCGCAAGTCTTGGTAAGGCCGCGCAAGTCTTGGTAAGGCCGCGCGAGTCTTGGTAAGGCCGCGCGAGTCTTGGTAAGGCCGCGCACGTCTTGGTAAGGCCGCGCACGTCTTGGTAAGGCCGCGCACGTCTTGGTAAGGCCGCGCACGTCTTGGTAAGGCCGCGCAAGTCTTGGTAAGGCCGCGCGAGTCTTGGTAAGGCCGCGCGAGTCTTGGTAAGGCCGCGCAAGTCTTGGTAAGGCCGCGCAAGTCTTGGTAAGGTCTTGGTAAGGCCGCGAGTCTTGGTAAGGCCGCGCAAGTCTTGGTAAGGCCGCGCAAGTCTTGGTAAGGCCGCGCAAGTCTTGGTAAGGCCGCGCAAGTCTTCGTAAGGCCACGCAAGTCTTGGTAAGGCCACGCAAGTCTTGGTAAGGCCGCGCAAGTCTTGGTAAGGCCACGCAAGTCTTGGTAAGGCCGCGCAAGTTAGTGGCACAAAGATATTGGATCCAATCTCTATTATTACACCACCAACCTCCCTTAATTTATAATATGTTGGTACGGAGCTCAGTCTTTACTAAGACTTGGCCCTCGTCTTGGGTCCGAGCGTGTAGTGTTGTTCACTACTGATGCAAGCGAGGAGTCACTATAACGTGGCTGAAGTATGTTGACCAGACCACACACTAGAAGGTGAAGGGACGACGACGTATCAGTCCGTCCTGGACCATTCTCAAATCCACTGGTTCACTACTGGTGTTGTAGTGGCGTCTGCTGGACTCTGCTCTTGGCTTCAGGCACCAGGTGTGGCTACCACTCCACTCACAACTTCTTTATCTTTCACACACCTGTCGTGTTTAAACAGTGAGTGAACACTTAAGTCAGTTTTATTTGCAGTTTACACCAGAACATCCTCGGTTCTAAAACAGCTAAACCTAAGAGTAGGACCGTGGCGTGTCTCTGTAAGGTGGAGGAGTGTTGTTAAGCAAGTCCCAGTTGTGTCTGGGTACACGTGACAGGATGAACAACCCAGCGGGTTTTCTTCTTATTGGGGAGTGTTGTACATGCTGCTATGGCGGTGTGTCCACTCACAGGATGAGTGGCGCTGCCCAATACTGTCACTATGGCGGTGTGTCCACTCACAGGATGAGTGGCGCTGCCCAATACTGTCACTATGGCGGTGTGTCCACTCACAGGATGGGTGGCGCTGTCCAATACTGTCACTATGGTGGTGTGTCCACTCACAGGATGTGTGGCGCTGCCCAATACTGTCACTATGGCGGTGTGTCCACTCACAGGAGTGGCGCTGTCCAATACTGTCACTATGGTGGTGTGTCCACTCACAGGATGAGTGGCGCTGCCCAATACTGTCACTATGGCGGTGTGTCCACTCACCGGATGAGTGGCGCTGCCCAATATTGTCACTATGGCGCTGTGTCCACTCACAGGATGAGTGGCGCTGCCCAATACTGTCAGTATGGCGGTGTGTCCACTCACAGGATGAGTGGCGCTGCCCAATACTGTCACTATGGCGGTGTGTCCACTCACAGGATGAGTGGCGCTGCCCAATACTGTCACTATGGCGGTGTGTCCACTCACAGGATGAGTGGCGCTGCCCAATACTGTCACTATGGCGGTGTGTCCACTCACAGGATGAGTGGCGCTGCCCAATACTGTCACTATGGCGGTGTGTCCACTCACAGGATGAGTGGCGCTGCCCAATACTGTCACTATGGCGGTGTGTCCACTCACAGGATGAGTGGTGCTGCCCAATACTGTCACTATGGCGGTGTGTCCACTCACAGGATGAGTGGCGCTGCCCAATACTGTCACTATGGCGGTGTGTCCACTCACAGGATGAGTGGCGCTGCCCAATACTGTCACTATGGCGGTGTGTCCACTCACAGGATGAGTGGCGCTGCCCAATACTGTCACTATGGCGGTGTGTCCACTCACAGGATGTGTGGCGCTGCCCAATACTGTCACTATGGCGGTGTGTCCACTCACAGGATGAGTGGCGCTGCCCAATACTGGCACTATGGCGGTGTGTCCACTCACAGGATGAGTGGCGCTGCCCAATACTGTCACTATGGCGGTGTGTCCACTCACAGGATGAGTGGCGCTGCCCAATACTGTCACTATGGCGGTGTGTCCACTCACAGGATGAGTGGCGCTGCCCAATACTGTCACTATGGCGGTGTGTCCACTCACAGGATGTGTGACCCTGCCCAATACTGTCACTATGGCGGTGTGTCCACTCACAGGATGAGTGGCGCTGCCCAATACTGTCACTATGGCGGTGTGTCCACTCACAGGATGAGTGGCGCTGCCCAATACTGTCACTATGGTGGTGTGTCCACTCACAGGATGTGTGACCCTGTCCAATACTGTCACTATGGCGGTGTGTCCACTCACAGGATGTGTGACCCTGCCCAATACTGTCACTATGGCGGTGTGTCCACTCACAGGATGAGTGGCGCTGCCCAATACTGTCACTATGGCGGTGTGTCCACTCACAGGATGAGTGGCGCTGCCCAATACTGTCACTATGGTGGTGGTCCACTCACGACCCTGCCCAATACTGTCACTATGGCGGTGTGTCCACTCACAGGATGAGTGGCGCTGCCCAATACTGTCACTATGGCGGTGTTTCCACTCACAGGATGAGTGACGCTGCCCAATACTGTCACTATGGCGGTGTTTCCACTCACAGGATGAGTGACGCTGCCCAATACTGTCACTATGGTGGTGTGTCCACTCACAGGATGAGTGACGCTGCCCAATATTGTCACTATGGCGGTTTCCACTCACAGGATGAGTGGCGCTGCCCAATACTGTCACTATGGTGGTGTGTCCACTCACAGGATGAGTGGCGCTGCCCAATACTGTCACTATGGCGGTGTGTCCACTCACAGGATGTGTGACCCTGCCCAATAAACCCGCCTTACGGGGCAAAATTAAAAAAAAAACTATATATGAGTTAGTGCGGTGACGTCGGTGCTGTAGCGTGGGTGTGAACACTCTCCTCTCACTACATCTAGCAAAACACACACTTCAACACGTAAAATAGTGTCTTGCTCTTTATACACATTTGTGTGTAGTTTACACCACCATTTAAGAGTCCACAGATAAAAACAGCAGCAGTTAAGCAGGTTGTACACCGTGAAGTGCCCTTATAAGGTGGAGCAGCAATGTTTACTGAAGCGTCAGCGTCTGGACACTACTGCGATCCACCACTGAGGCGGGTCATACCTGGAGCATACCTGGGGCCAGATTCACGAAAGCACTTACGCAAGCACTTACGAACTTGTACATCTTTTCTCAATCTTTGGCGACTGTGTTTCCAATTATTAAACAGTTCATGAGCTCCGAAGCACCAGGAGGCTGTTTATAACAATAACAACAGTTGAATGGGAAGTTTTCACGCTTGTAAACTGTTTAATAAATGTAACCAAAGCCGTCAAAGATTGAGGAAAGATGTACACGTTCGTAAGTGCTTGCGTAAGTGCTTTCGTGAATCTGGCCCCTGGAGAGTGTTCTGGGAGTTCTTCTACTCGCCGAGCCCGGCCTGAAGCCAGGCTCGACTTGCGATAACTCGGTACAACAGGCTGTTGCTTGCAGCGGCCCGCAGGCCCACATATCCACTACAGCCTGGTTGGTCTGGCACTTCTTGCAAGAACCTATCTAAGTACCTCTTGACTAAATATACCTTTGTTCTGGCAATATTTCTAATGCTTGCTGGGAGGGTGTTGAACACCTGTGGACCTCTGATATTCAGTGTTCTCTGATTACGCCAATGGCACCTCTGCTCTTCATTGGTTCTATTCTGCATTTCCTTCCATATCTTTCGCTCCAGTATGATGTTCTAGTGTGCAAATCTCATACTTGCCCTTCAAGTATCTTCCATGTATATATTAATTGATACCTTTCTCCTCTCCTTTCTAAAGAGTACAATTTCAGAGCTTTGAGACGGTTCCAATAATTT